AGTTTGTGGCCATTGTTCCTAGTTACTCCAGAGGGTGTCCTGGTAAACAGATCATCTCCTATTACTTGCTGCCCCCCCTCCCATGAATTTGTACGTGGCCACAAGATCCCCTCTCAGCCTTCACTTAATGCTCGTTTCACTTAACACTTGTTTTTTCAGGAACCAATTAAGAGCGCTAAGCAGGGGTTGCCTGTCTCCTAACTGGTCCTTCCTAACTTCTGTAAGGTAGAGGTTTTCAACTTTTTCAAAGACATGTACCACTTCGGGGGGGGGGGAAGGGGCCAGATGCAGAGTTGGGGGCGGGGCTTGCACATGGCAGCAGCGTGGCTGCCACATGCAGGCTTCCCTCTGCCATGTCCAGGAGGCGCCTGTGTGGCCTGCAGAGGGGAGCCACTGCCCTCTCACCCCCCCCACTCCTGGGAGGCAGTGGCACAGGGTGGTGGATGGCGGTGCTCCATCCCTGCCTGCCTGTGCATACCCCCAGCCCCTTTCCAAGTACCCCCAGGGGTATATGTACCCCCCAGTTGACAACCCCTGCTCTGGGGGGAGGAGCCCTGCTCTGAAAGTGGTGTTGGTAGAGGAGAATGATTGCATGCTGTGCCTCCTCTCCCCTCCCAGCCCCCTGAAATCCCCTTGCTCTCTCTTGCATCCCCATTGCCATTTCTTGCACACCTATAAGGGGGGCCTTTCTACTTCTCTTAACAGGAGTTTGGCCATCTGTGTTGCTGGCTTGTCCCATGATTCACCAGACACTTCCTTGTTTTCTCTTCCTTTTGTCACCAACAGTCTGATGGTAAACAATCATGAGTTAACAAAGCAGCTGAGAATGATCAGCGAGATCAATTCCCAAGGAGGCTGAAGAGGTGCTACAAGATGAACTCCAGGTTGTGTGCGCAAACAGTAATTGCATTTGTGCAATGAGCCAGCAAATGAGCAGTGCAATATTTCAGATTAGAGCAAACCAGCAGCAGAATAGCTACTGAGGTATCAAACACTCTAGAGTTTTGTCAGTGATTCCACAGTGGTCTGAATTAATTTGATCAGGAAGAATGATTGAAGGATACATTTAACAGCTGGGGAGGTATCCAGTTCAATACATTTATATCTAGTGTTTACATGATCAAATCAAGGCAACAAATACATACGGTACACGGTTTATCTGGTCTTTTTGTTTTGTCCATCAGCGTCAGTGCTTCTGTGTTTCTTGTCTTGCAGTAGACTCTCTAGACACATAAATAATTCTCCCTGTTTTGGTCTCCTCACTAATACCAAATACAGATTTGCTTGTTTTGTGTTCTTCAGACCAGGTACAGTAGAGTTCAGTGACTTGCTAGGTTATGTAGCAGATTAGTGGCAGGGCTAGAATATGGAGTAGGATTTCCTCATCCAACTTTAATGAGCTAGCTAGTGGATCATGCTTCAGATATACAGTGCAACAGCACCAAGGTCCTGTGAGCCAGTTACCATTGCTGAACTTGCTCGGCATTCTTTGAACACCTCCTAATTTTTATTTTAATAGAAAACGCTCACAACTGTCATTGACTGGAGCTGCTGGTCTCCACTCTTCTCCCCTTCCTTGTACAGCACCTTGAGGCAAAATGAACCCTGTGGGGTCTGATGAGCACAGGGGCAAAGCTCTGTACCCCCATTTATGCCCCAAAGAGAAGACTTTGATGGTTATTAGAGCCCTCTCCATCTGTTGGCTGTACTGTGTCAATGTGGTCAGCCTGAAGTGTGCTCTTAAGCTGTTTTGAAGAAAAACATTCCTCTCTTGCTAAACCCTGTAGCTACAAATTTGTAGGTTCATTGATTCTTATTAGTTAATCCATAGATGCAAGGAGAGGAAAATCTGATAATCCATTTTAGCTTTCCAGGGTCTTATGTGCCTATCCTAAAAGAGTCTTTTTTTCTCCCTGGTCCTTAGTTTTTGTTGTCATACTGTTTCTGTAGGTGGAAGTTGCAAAGTCTGTCTACCCTTCTCCTTCCATTGCTTTTGGACAAGACTCATGAGAACAGTTAGACCCAGCACCCAGTAACATTTGGCAGTTAGGTGCCCAGCTCCTTGTAGTTAGGTGCCCAGTACCTTTTAAGATATTACCCTAGATTGGCAAACAGAAGTGTGGCATAAATACTGTCTATGCAAAAAGAGATGCCTCCATTACTGTGGGATCTGTGTGTCACAAGCAAGCTTCTTTGAGGGGTACAATATTTAGAAAATAAAGCCTTTTCTTAACCTGAAAAAAAAAAGTAATTTAGTCCTGTCATTTCCAGAATAGGGCATTTTTGTTCAGAAAAGGGGGGAGAGGGAAGAAAACCTTCCAAAATAAGACTGCTGGTAACATCACGTTCAACTGTTTATAGAGTCTTTTCTTTCAAACATTGCTAAAATATCTTACATGCTGCAGTGCCTTGGCACTACCAAGCAAATTAAGGACTGCATATCAGCTTTGCCTCTGAATTTCCTTGCATTAATTGAAGAAACTTCCTCCTAACCATAGGATAATTTAGAACAAAATTAGAGTGATCAGCTGTTACTATCTTGAGTTTAGCTACAATATGTTAAAAGTGTGTGTATGTAGGGGGGGAGCTTAGTTGTTTAACTGCACGTGTTATTAGGCCTTTGCTGTGATTTGTTGCACCCACATTTGAAGATATTGGGAAGGAATGGTTAAATGCTTTCAGTTCAAATGGTTTATATTAGCTATTGTTAATACTGTACTGAACTACTCACCACTCAAGTCTCTATTTTACAAATACAAAGGCTACACTGAGATGTTTTTACTGGGATTGTGTATAAGAACTGCTCACAGAAATCCGTAATTGTCAGCATGTAAGCATTTCTGGGATCAGGGTATAAGGTTTTAAGTTTTGTTGCAAAATCTTTCCTCTGAATCGTGCAGCACTGGACAGTTGGTCTGCATTTCATAAAGAATACTTTCACTCTCAATATAAAGAGGGTTGTGGTTGGGGGGTCCTTTGCTTTCTGTTCTATATGGGTTCCTGCACTGCACTTGTCACCACACTATCCACGTTCCTACTGCTAATGCATTCAGCAGCGTGACTGATGTCCATCTCACATCTATTCTCTGAGCCTCTCCAAAAGTGGAAGAACATGACAGAAAGTTTGTGTCATTGGGATTGTTTTTCAGTCTAGTGGCATGGGGTCTGTATGTGGTAGAGGAGGCAGATGAAGAAAACACATCTGGACTTGGGGGCAGAAGGTGGTGAAGTGTGTAGTGGCCCCCATCTCTGCAGCCTGATGTGACTGTGGGCTATTTCTTTACAGCTGAGCCCTCACATTACTGCAGGAGGTTCTTTTGTGCTCCAGGGTCAGAGTGGCTAAGCAAACCATTATTTTGCAGGTCTAAGCAAGCTCTTAGCTCCCTGGGACCAGGCCTCTATTTGTTTTTAAGATAAGAACCAAGACCTTGGTCATTGTCCTATGACTAGAGACCTGGGTTCAGTTCCTAGCTCTGATCTTGCTGGCAGACCTTCATCACGTTTCACCGTCTGTAAAATGGGGCTGATCTTGCTGTCTTGGAGTGGTCTGGAGGGAAAGCTCTGTGTAAGAACCAGGTAATCTCCAAAAGCAAGTTAACTTTGTTATTGCTGCCTCTTGCTACCAGACTGCCACAGATGCAAGCAGGCCAAGTTTAATGATGTGCTACTGAATAGTTCAGCAGCAGAAGGATGTGCTTTATTGTCTGCTGTAACCAGACATTCAGCGAAAGGCAGCTGCGTCCTTATCTCTTCTTTAAGTACTAACCCTGAAGCTGGTACATTACAAATTCACCCTGTTGCAGACTTAGCAGCAGCTTAGTGCTCCGCTTTTTTTTTTTTTATCAAACTATCTGCCTCATTTTTATCTAACTTACCTTTAACACTGGGCTCATATGGCCTGTTAAATTGGAATGGGCAGGAGCAATATTGGCACTTCTGTCCTGGTTGTGCAGAAAGTGGTGCATGTTGGGAATATATTTGCTCCTGCAAACGTAGACGTGTAACAAGAATGAGCCTGGTAGCCATGCTAATGGTGTGAACAATGCCAAGGTCTCATAAACTGGGTGTCAGACTGATTCATGGCTTACGCTGTTCAGTTCCTAATGATGAGACTCAAGAAGTGCCACTGGAGCAAAGTTTGTGGGTTTGTTCCACAAATGGTATGCTCCAGATTCTGGCTGCTTTGCTTTGCTGTCTATCTCTCTGGCTAGTGTACAAGAACCTTAACATTTCACAGAAGATAACTGCAGGCCTCTCCATAAGATCACCTCTGAGACTGGCTTCAGCTCAGCAGCTGGCTCTCTTTTAAATAAATAAATAGAATTCAACATGTGATTTTAATAACCTTATTGCTATTAATTTTTAATGCCTCCTCTCTATAGTGAAAAATGGTTTAATTCTAAAGCAATTTGTACTCGAAAGCCTTTGAATTATTTATAGGGTTCCTGGAATATTTACAATATTCTGATGGCCAAGTTGGGTAATTAAACATTTTTCCCCTCTGTTAATTGGATTCTGGGTAGGCAGAATGCTAGCTAAGCTGCTTCAGAAGGAGCAAAGCTATTTCTAGATGGGGATGTTACTGCCTGGAACTCCAGAATTTACAGTGAGAAACAGGCAAAGTTAATGACATTATTTTCCCACAGAGTTAATTGGAAGTTTAAGGGCCAGATCCTCAGAGACTGTAAAACAGGCAAGCTCCCCCAAATTAATGGAATTACAGCAGTTTGCATCAGCAGAGGATCTAGCTAAGGGTGGAGTTCAACCCTAGGCGGAGGTAGCAAATGGTCAGCATATTGGCATCACAGAAGTCCAGCTTGAGCACTAGGTCCTAAGTGGTGCCTGAGTCTCAGGCTGATTTCTCTGAAGGGGTAGTGTCTGCCATCAAGGTGGTGATAGGCAATTCCAAAGGCACAGGTGGGAACTCAGTTAATTTTAAAATAGTGAGACAAACTGATATTGTGTCTAACCTGCAGGTGTTGTCTTATTTGTTTCTGCAGTGGAAAGATGTATGAACTCCATGCAAGCCGGGACCCAGATGATCAAACTACGCGGTGGTTCCAAGGGTCTGGTCCGTTTTTATTACCTGGATGAACACAAGTCATGTATTCGCTGGAGACCATCTCGAAAGAATGAGAAAGCCAAAAGTGAGTGCTGGCCAACAGGCAGACAAGTTCTTTGGGTAAATCCAATACTTTTTATTAAACCAACTCAAATAGTTGGAAAAAATCTTGTTTGCAAGCTTTTGGGTACAAATACCCTTCATCAGGCAAAGAAAGCATCTGCAGTTGGTCTGTGCTATTCCTTGATGGAACAGTAAAAAAGCCAGAAGCTAGTAAGCATGCGAGAAAGCCCATCAGTGAAAGTGTAAATTGAGGTCGTCAAGAGGTGAAACACGGGGGGGAGCTGTTGAATATAGGTACTAAATGGCAGAGAGGTTACATAGGGAGTCAGATATTAGGCAGGTTATAATGTGTCATAAATCCAGTGTCCATATTTACTCCATGATTTTTTACTATTCCATCCAGGAAGAGCACAGACCAACTGCAGATGCTTCCTCTGCCTGATGAAGGGTATTTTTACTCGAAAGCTTGCAAATAATTTTTTTCAAACTATTTGATTTGGTCTAATTAAAGATATGGAATTTACCCAAAAAACCTTTCTGCCTATGTCCTTAGACTAACACGGCTACAACCTATACTGCTGGCCAACAGGTCTTTCTGCCGGATCATCCCAAGGATGAGATTCTGTTCCAGGTATTGAGCAGCTACCATGAGGAAGGTGGAAGGTGATCAAGACAAATGCTGTATGTGGGTTCCAAACAGTATGTGTGATTGCTGTGAATGAAAATGCTGCTGTAGTGCAGGCTGGAGTAACCGAACATACTTGGAGATGAGCTGCAAACAAACCTTGCATGGATAGTGCAAGACTTAAGGGAGCCTGCAGGTGATGGCTTTGACCCTTTCTTAGGAACCTCCATGTAGGGAGGGCCCTGTTTTTGTTGACACAAATTACTAGTGGCATTGTGGTTAGACTCTGAAGCTATCAGCTATTATTAGAGATGGGATCCAAGGCCATATGGATCAGCTGCCTGATTGAGGCAGCTCTGACTTGATTCATTGTATATTCAGGTTCTAGTTTGTACAGGTCCAGATGCTTCCAATGAAGCAATGTCTGCACAGACCTTTACAGAATCTCTTTGACCCTGTGCAGGTGCAAGGATCTGCTTTTCAGATCCAGCACCATGGTTTGGCCCCAAAGCATGGTCCACATGATGATGGCAATAATGATCATCATCATCATTTGTACTACAGGTCTGCTGCGGGGTCCTGACTAAGATCAGCCCTTCAACATGGTAGAAACTGTAAACAAAGTTAGTGAGAGAAGGCACATACCTGAAAGAGCCTGTGTTCAAAAAACAGAAGGCAATGGTTAAGAAGGGACATGGAGGAGAAAGGACTTCCCTGAGGTCACAGAAGAATCAGGATATAGAAACTCAGTTCCCTTACTCCCAGTCTGGCACCCAGCTCACTGAACCATACTGTATTTGGCACCACCTTGTCCCACTTATCTCCTGCTCCCCACCTTAAAGATACAACACAGAACTTTTTGTTCTCTACCCAGGACTGCCACGTACCAAACAGCTTTAATTGTCCCCACAAGACTATGCATGTGAGGATTTTTTGTGTAACTTTGCACCAGATGGTGGTGGCTCCATTCCAAAGGAAGGATAAATGTTTGAGAAGCAATGATTGTTTCACAGGCACAAGTCGCAACCTGCAATAAAGCAGGACTTAAATTATTTATTTAACAAGAACAGCCTAAAGAGATATGTGTAACTGCACTGGTAAGGAAATGCCACAAGAGAGATGGCTGGCAGCTGCCCTGCCAGTGGAGGAACAGGGAGACCAGACGCTTTGGGGACCAAATTAACTTGCCTGTTTTCCTGTTTCAAGAGTAAAGCATGTTGGCAGGATCTGTACCTTGGGGTGTGACCCACTTTTGGCATGTAAAAATATACTGAGAAAATATGCATCATTTGAGAGTTGTGGAGCCCTCATGGTTAGATCATTAGTCATGAAAGTTCTGCATTCAGCTCCTGACTCTGCCCTGACCTCCTCTGTGACCTCTGACAGGGCACTTGGGTCCAGATTTTTAAAGGTACTTAGGCACCTAAATGTCTCCAAAAGTCTGGGTCATAGTTCCTCATCCTAAGCAAGAACAGAAAGAGGTTTCTGAGCACAGTGAGAATCTGGCCCATCTGTACTGACTCTCAGCTCCTCAGGGCACATGCTGTTTCAGTATGCATACATACAGTGCCCTGCACACTAAGGCTCTTATCTCAGCTAAGGCCTCTCAGTGTTTCTGTATGGCAGACAAATAATAACAATGTCCCTGTCTCTTCCATAGGCTTAGTGCCTTAACGAGCACCAGTCCTTGAATTTCTTTTCTGCAAGTATGAGTTAGAACAGGGACAGGCAAAATACAGCCATTCTATCCAGCCTGCGGGGCCCCTAAAAAGTTTAGAAAATTAATATTTATCTGCTCCTGGCTGCCTGTCAAAGATGACAGGAGTCAGGTGCAGTAGGACCCAGGGGAAGCCAGCAGGACTCAGCAGCCCAGAAGCAAGGCCTGCCCCTGCCCCCAGCCCCAGTTCTGGGGCAGAAAACTGGAAAAGAACTCAAAGAAGGGCCAGACTTACCTGCATGGCAGCCTGGACTGAGCAACAAAAGAGCACTGGGCCTGTCTGTCTGCAGCCTGGACATATAGTCTTAGCTACACAACTATGCTGAGACAGAACAGTTGCAAAACAACAAACAATTGTGTGATCCCACTCAAGTCCTTAAGCCTGGCTCAGAGCTCCAGTTCATAGATTTCATAGATATTTGGGTTGGAAGGGATCCCGGAGGATCATCGAGTCCAGCCCCTTGCCCAGAGGCAGGAAGTCAGCAAGGATCATAGGATCCCAGCAAGATAAACATCCAAAAGTGTCTTGAAGGTGTTCAAAGTAGGTGCTTGAACCACTTCCAGTGGCAGTCTATTCCAAAACTTGGGGACTCAGACAGTAAAGAAGTTCTTCCTAATGTCCAGCCTGAAATGGTCGCAGAGGAGTTTGTGACCATTCGATCTTGTCATCCCTTGGGGCGCTCTGGTGAACAGACGTTCCCCCAGATCCTGATGGGCACCCCTGATAAACTTATAGGTGGCCACCAGATTGCCCCTGAGCCTGCGCTTTTCCAGGCTGAAGAGTCCCATGTCTCTCAGCCTCTCAACATAAGGTCTGTTTTCCTGACTTCTGCTCATGTGCGTGGCTCTTCTCTGCACTCCCTCAAGCTTCTCCACATCCTTTTTGAATTCTGGAGCCCAAAACTGGACAAAGTACTCCAGCTGCGGCCTCACCAAGGC